CGATCACCAGCACCTCCACCAGAACGGCCACCAACACGACCGCCAGCACGATCACCAGCACAACCACCAACGCGACCAGCCACCAGCACGACCACCAGCACAACCGCCAGCACGACCACCAGCACGACCACCAGCCCAGCACGACCACCAGCACGACCACCAGCACGACCAGCCAGCAGCACGACCACCAGCTCGACCACCAGCACCTCCCAGCACGACCACCAGCACAAGTACCAGCACGACCACCAGCACGACTGCGAGCACCTCCACCAGAACGGCCAGCAGCACGACCACCAGCACGACCACCAGCACGTCCACCAACCACGACCACCAGCACGGCCGCCAGCACAACCACCAGCACGACCGCATTATGGGCACACGGTCGGTCCAGCACAACCGCCAGCACGACCACCAGCACGACCACCAGCCCAGCACGACCACCAGCACGACCACCAGCACGACCACCAGCACGACCAGCCAGCAGCACGACCACCAGCTCGACCACCAGCACCTCCCAGCACGACCACCAGCACAAGTACCAGCACGACCACCAGCACGACTGCGAGCACCTCCACCAGAACGGCCAGCAGCACGACCACCAGCACGACCACCAGCACGTCCACCAACCACGACCACCAGCACGGCCGCCAGCACAACCACCAGCACGACCACATTATGGGCACACGGTCGGTCGAAATAAAGCAGTGCGAGATCGCACCGGTAGGTATGATGAAAAACCTCCCCCATACGAGCCAAAGAGGAGAGGAAGGGGGGAGCTTCAAGCCCCCCCCCCCTTTGCACCAAGGGAGGGAGGGGGGGGAGCTTCCAAAGCCCCCCCCCTTTCAAAGGGGTGGGGTGGCTCACCCCAGCTCCATTAAAAGGAGGGAGGGGGGGGTAGCTTGGAAGTCCCTCCATTTTTCCAGCCACGAAAAGAAGGGGAGGGGGGGGGGGTAGCTTCCGAAGCCCCCCCCCCTTTCAAAGGGGGGGGGCTCACCCCGGCTCAATTAAAGTGAGGGAGGGGGGGGTAGCTTGGAAGCCCCCCCCCTTTCCGGACCACGAAAAGGGGGGGAGGGGGGGGGGGCTTCCGAAGCCCCCCCCCTTTAGCAAGGAAGGGGGGAGGGGGGTAGCTTCAAGTCGGGCCCCCCCTTCTAGTCTATCGGGCCCCACGAGCGCGGTCTATCAAAAAAATCGCCCCAGACTATTATTATCCTATTTTAGTCTATTCCTCCTGTAGAGGGACACGCCCGACTTAACCCTGGCCCAGAGTGCCGCCACGATCCCTGGAGAGGCCCGCACGGACCCCAGAGCGCCCCTCGCGGGGCCCAGAGGGCCTCACCGGCTGCGAGCCATTGGGGGGGGATGCGAGAAGTAAGGGGCCCAAGGACACACAAATAGATAACTGCACACGAATCCCAAGACTCCCCATGTTTTCCTGGAGTTTCTGAGTTTTCGTCTTCCCCCCCCGCTCTACATATTTTTTCCCATATTGCCCAGGGAGTCGACGATGAGTTGTGTCTGTGTGCATGTTTCCCCCGAGGAGGCCATCTCAGAAGGCGGCGGGACTTCTCAGGAGCCCTCTGGCCTTCTGAGAAGAATTCCTGCGTCTTCGGGCATGGCTCAAAAGACAAGGGCTCCTAAGTTCGCGCTTCGCGCTGCGCGAAGCGCGAAGCGCGAATAACTTCGCGCTCTCGCGCCGCCCCCCAAGGGGGAGAAGAGGAGGACGAGGAGAAGGGGGAGGAGGAAGGAGGACGGCGAAGCGCGAAGCGCGAATAACTTCGCGCCCTCCCGGGAGCCCTTGAAAAGACTTCTCAGAAGGCCGTGCGACGCCCGAGCCTTCCGAGGAGGTCCGCCCCCTCTCACTTCTCCCCGGGCTCGCCGCCGAAAGGATGCCGCGGGAGGCCGGAATCACCTTTGGCCAGGGCCACCTCCGGCAACGCCCAGGCTCGCTCTGGCGTCGGCGCTGCCTCACCTCCCTGGCACCGAGTGGATCGCTCAACCTTGGGCGGTCGCGGCTCTCCGATGAACTAAAAGAAGAAGAAGAAGAAGAAGCAGAAGAAGAAGAAGAAGAAGAAGGACAACGGCATAGACATAAACTTTTGGTGCTCGCGCGGGCTTCTTGGATCTGCGTTGGACCCCCCCCTCCCTGGCGCGCGGAGCGCGCCAGGGGCGGCGCCGGAGGCGCCACGGGGGCCCCAACGCGGCTCCGAGAAGTCCGCGCGCAGAGCCCAAAGTTTCTGCTTCTGGCGTTTTTCTCCTCCGATCACCCTTGGGCGGTCGCGGCCCTCCAGTGAGCGCGGGTCGCTCAAGAGTGTGTCTCCCCAGACATGCGACGTCCTGATTTTGTTCCATACGGGGCCCCTGGAAGTCCCGACCCGTTCCCCGGGACCGGCTTTTCACCCCGAGTCTCGATTGCTCACGGTCCCGAGGCCCAGCGAGGGCCCCCCGAGACCGAAAATTGCCCAAACCCTCCCGTCCTGAGTTTGTTTTTTGTTCACGGCACGATCATGTCTGGGTCAAGATCGGCCGACTCGGGGCCACCGGCGGCGCTTGCTCAGGCTTGAACGCCCGCATCAAGATCGCCGCCAGCGCCCGCGCGTGGTGAGCCCGCCGCGCTCGTCGGGAGAGGTGCGCAGCGTGGCCCAACGACTTCCCTCCGGGCTCAACCCGGAGCGTTGCCGCCGCCTGCGCTGCACCACCTTATTAAAGGAAAGAGAACTGTGCACATACACCGATTCTGGCCAGGCCCATCCTGAGCCCAGGATCGGTGCACACGCCCTCCTACCGTGGCCAGGACAGCATGTGCACCGATCCTGGGTCAAGGATGGGCCTTGCCAGGGTCGGTGCATGTACATAATTCTCTTCCCCCGACATCTGGCCCAGGCCCCTGAGGGACGGAGGCTAAGGAGGCAACTGCTGGCAGGTCTTCGTCGGAAAGGTCGGGAGAATGAAGCCCCATAGGGGGGGCTGCTACGTCGGATCAGGCCGCGGGTGAAGCGGGATCAAGCTGGATGGAGCCGGCGAAAGCGGGATTGGGCGAGATCATGCCGGACGAGGCCGGATGTCGGGCCAGGGCACAATGAGAACTCGACCCCCCAAGAGCAGCATCCGATGGGACGGGGGCAGAGGGAGGAAGTGAGAAGGAAGAGGAGTGGTGAGGAAGGGGGATCTGTGACTGACAGGGCCTGCCGACTCTTTACGGAAACTGCTCTGCTGAACTGAAGTCCCCGTCCATCCACGACGGCCATCGTTTCTGTCCAGACACTTCCCGTGAAATCCCATGAGCAGGAGGGGGAAGAGGATGGAGGAGAAACAGGAAGGACGATGAGGCCTTCGAGGGTTGGCGGACGACGATGACGGCGATGACGACGACGGTGTTGAGGATCTCCCAGAACCTTCGAATATCACCGAACACCTTAGAGAACCTCGTCAGACCTTCGAATACCCTATCAGGACATCAAACCACACGAATGTAATAACACACGAAGAAAATGCTTGCCAACGTGGACCTCAACCAGTGCATGATTGCACTCTGCGTGTGTATGTGATATGTGGTACAAGCTGTGTGATGCGATACGTGTGGCACAACGTATGCGGTACAATCCATACGGTGCAGGCTATGTGGTGGAGCGTAATTGTTGCAATCGATGCGGTGCGAGCGAAGTGCTATAAGCAGATGTATTGAAATTAAGCGGCGTAGTTTATGCTTTTCTCTCTCGATATATATGTATGAGGTACAAACGATGCGATGTAAGCGAATGTAGTGCAAACTATGAGATGCAATCCGTGCGGTGTAAGCTACGTGGTGCGAACTGTGTGGGACACCCAGCGCAGGGGGCGGCCACGAGAGGAGCCCTCGGAAGCAACTGGGCGAAACCCCGCCACACCCACCCGACGCATGGTGTGGCCGCGACGCCGCCACGGGCGGCCACCAACCAGGCACCAGAAGAAACCGCGACACACCCATCCGATAACTTGAGAGCACAAGTGAGCGACGATCAACAACGGGTCTTGCGCGAGACGGCACAGCGACCTTGCAAGGCGGCCTACGCGGGCCGCCAGCGCGGCACGCTGCATTGGAGACGAGGGCGCTCACGCGCGACCTTCCGCGGGGAGCTTACGCGCCATTGCCGGCGCATGCGCTCCCGTTTTTTTTTTGCGTCGCTCAAGTGGGAGTGGGACCCCCTCAGCACAGAAGATGCTTCTGAGAAAAAAAGCGGGGGATGTGACCAAGACGGCGGCCACGGCGACGCTGGCCCTCCACGACTGCTCCCCATGCTTCTCCCTGAGCGGCTTCTTACCCAGACTCCGAGGCCAATCTGGCCGTGGCCGACGAGGGGCCCTCTGGGAGGCCACCGAAGGCCCCAAAAGGAGGGCAAGGAGGAGGAGGAGAAGGAAGCAGACTAGAAGGATGAGGGAGGAGGGTGAGGGGAGGCTGGGGAGGGGAAAAAAGAGGAGGAAGAGGCTGAGAAGGAGGAGGAGGAGGCCAACTCGAAGGATGAGGAAGGAGGATGAGGGGAGGCTGAGAAGGAGGAGGAGGAGGAGGAGTAGGAGGAAGGGGAGGAGGAGGAGGAGGGAGGAGGAGGAGGCCGACTCGAAGCATGAGGGAGGAGCATGAGGGGAGGCGGAGGAGGAGGAGGAGGAGGAGGAGGAGCAGGAGGACGGCGACGACGACGACGACGGCGACGACGGCGGCGACTGCGACGGCGACGGCGCGCGAGGCGTGGGGCGGCTGTTCCTCCCTCCTCCTCCTCCCTCCTCCTCTTCCAACTCAGCCTCTCCTCCTCCTCCTTCCTCCTCCTCCTCCTCCCTCCTCCTCGTCCTCGTCCTCGTCCTCGTCCTCCTCCTCCTCCTCCTCCTCCTCCAACCCAGCCTCCCCTCCTCCTCCTCCTCCTCCTTCTCCTCCTCCCTCCTCCTCCTCCTCCTCCTCCTCCTCCTCCTCCTCCCCACCTTCCTCATTCCTCCTTCCTCCTCCTCCCTCCTCCCTCCTCCTCCGAGGGGGCCTGCACTCGCCCACCGCCTGCCGGACGTCCACGGGCACGTCGAGGCGCATGCCGCCCGCCAGGCGGGAGCAGTCC